GTCATGTTCTCCCAGATCATCTTGGTAGAAACTACCAAGAATTCCGTTAGTTTTGTATGCTGTTCCTTTATAGTTTTAAAGACTAATTGGAATTGACCTGCGTTATCACTCAAGACTCGTTCTGGACGTCGGAATATGTTAATATGTAGAGGAAAGTTTCCGCAGATAAATTGTCTGCTATTTCTAAATATATTGCTTTCGTGGTAAAGCATGTGAATAAGGCAATCCATCTTTTGCATATTCCGTTCTCAGTTTTGGTTGAGAGAAGACCTAGACAGTCCAAACCAATATTTGCAAAGATTCTTGATCAATTGATTCTGGTAGATTCGGCATGATGGGTGAATGGTTCCGCTGACCATAGTTTACACAGGTGCAGTTATTGATAACACGTTTGACTTTAGTTCGGCCTTTTGGTATCCATAGTTTACGTCTTATTTCTGAGAATGTATATGCGGTTCCGGTATGATGTAATGCCTCATGCTGTTGCCGTATTAAAAACTCAGTAGCCGCATTATGTCTTGGTAAATGAACTGAATGTTTGCTTTGTTCATCCAATTCGGAATTTTCCAGGCGACTTTGTGATTTCCATAATTTGTCTTCGTCGTAGTATCTATCTCTTCTGTAATCGTTTCTGTTTCTGCTTGTTTAACGATCATCTACTCAGCTAATTTATGATCTTCAGCTGTTTGTCGATGTCGTTATGCCGATAGCGGATTTAACCATGATAATTTTCCTTTTGTCCTTTTAATAAATTTATGGTCCAAAAATTTTATATTCACGATTTTTCGAGTCATGACTTTTACAATGATTCGTTCTTCTGTTTCGTCTTCGTATTCTTTCATGGTCTGATATTCCCATTGAGACCATTTAGTTTCGGATTCTCTTAACCATTGTGGTCCTTCTCACCAGAATTCATATTCCTTTAGTTTTCCTGGAAGAAGCCCTTTTGTGATAACATCTACGGTATTGTACTCACTTGGGACATATTGAAATGAAATTTCTGCTTTCCGTATTTCTTCTACCCGATTCTGTACGAATCTTGGCAGCAGTTTTGAATAATTTTGTGTCCAATGCAACTCACATTCGAATCTGACCATAAGGTTACTGGATACCTGTTTAGTTCTAATTGCTGTGTAACGAACTTTACTGCTCGTACACCAATAAGTATCGCAAGCATTTCCAATCGAGGTATGTTCATCTCTTTATTCGGAGCCAGTTCGTTCTCTTCGTTTAAAATTCCACCCCAAGTTTTATTCCTTTTCCATAAGTTTTGAAAAAATAATTTAAGTAGTATCATCGCGGGAACTAGAAATCCTAGAGGATCATACTGAGAAGCAACAAATCGTAGAATGCTCCGTTTTGTGATCTCCTGTTCATTCCATGGTCTAAATGTCACCCTAATTATGTCTTTGTCATGTATCCAAGTGATGCCGAGAATTTTCGTTGGGCCTCCACTGACTTGGTCTTGCTTGGCTATCTTCTTATTGAAGTTTTCGTCGTTAGACAGAAATCCCCGAATATTTATTGCTGCTTCCTTAAAAATACTCGTCATGGTATTTCTCCAACGCTTCTCTCGTTGGTCTAGCTGATAGCATAATGTTGTCCACATACAAATTTTTCCTGATCTTCAACGCAATCTTACTGCCACTGGTTTTTAAATGGTGATTCAGTGTTGCAGAAAGTAGTAAGGGTGATGCGATTACTCCAAAAGGAACTCTTCTGAAGCGATAGCATTTTATATTTTCTTCAGTGATTGGCTTTTCAATATCCTTTACCCAGAGAAATCTGGTACAGTTTCTGTCAGCTGTAAGCAATTCTAGTTGTAAAAATGCCTTCTCCACGTCTGGAATAATGGCGTTTCTCATCATTCGAAAGTGGAGAAATATTCCTACCAAATCAGGGAGCATTACAGGTCTACGACACAGAACATCGTTCAGGCTTTTCGTAGCTTTAAGATGTGCTGAAGCATTCTGAACAATTCTCAGCCCCGTCTGGGGTTATAACCTCGTGATGTGCAAATAGTGAATGACGCCTTCCTGACCCATTTCAGGATGAACTTCCCCAATGATTTCCGACTTAAGTCGATCTCGAATAGTTTCACCATACTGTGTGAACAATATTTAATCTGGAGTCGTTTGATTAATGTTATGAGGCGCCCGACGCATAGTTCGTAATAACCTCTTAATTTATCCTTTGATTCTTTCCATGGCCATCTGATTTGATATCTTCCTTTTTGCTTGATGATGCTCCTTTTGAATTGCTTTAGAGCTTTCTCGTCGTCATTTTTATCGAGTTGATCCTGAATCCCCATGAGTCCCAATTTCCAAAAACGATCAATGTCATGGTCCTTATTTACTTTAGTCCCGTACGTTACGGCAGTCTCGACTGATATTGCATTCACGCTGCTAGTATTTATATATCTAGTTCCGTTCAGTATTGGTCCATATGATCCGTGCCGAAAAGTGTATCAGATTGTTTCCAAGGTTGTTTCTAATAACTTTAAGTCATCTAACTGATCATACTTCGTCAATGATGATTATCCTTTTCACTTGTCCGCACCACTTGCAATTTATTTGATAGATAATCCTTAATATATACTCCACAAGTGATGATTTCTTCCCCCAATATCTTTATGCCAATCTTCGCCTTTGTAGAGTAGTAATTCTTCGGCAATTTATCGCCGAATGAAGCGATACTTATTTCTTCATCCGTAATTCCTTCCAAGCTTAGTCGATCCGTTAAATCCTTTGAAACGAATGACAACTGCGCACCTTGTCAAATAGTACTAGTGTCTGTGTTTCTATCTCCGGAGTTTGGGGTGTC